TTTTTTTGGTGAGATTAATTTAGACTGACTCTTACTTTTGCCAGATTGGAGTGCAATGGCATGATCTTGGCTCACTGCAACCTCTACCTCCCGGTTTCAAATGATTCTCTTGCCTCAGCCTCCTGAGTAGCTGGGACTGACTGCAGGCACATGCCACCACACCCAGCCAATTTTTATATTTTAAAGAGACGAGGTTTCACCATGTTGGCCTAGGTGGTCTCCATCTCTTGACCTTGTGTTCTGCCTGCCTTGGCATCCCAAAGAGCTGGGATTATGGGCGTGAGCCACTGTGCCCAGCCAAAAAAACCTTTTTTTGAGTTGAGTGACAGGATCAGTTAAAGGAATGTTGATTGTATAATGGAGAAATGTTTTCTGTGTTCACTAACAGCTTGCCTTTGTTTGATTCCAGCTGCAGCATATTGTGAGTGATGAGATCTGTGTACAGGTGACTGACCTTTACCTGGCAGAAAATAATAATGGGGCCACTGGAGGCCAGCTGAACACACAGAACTCAAGGAGCCTCCTGGAGTCAACATATCAGCGGAAAGCCGAGCAGCTAATGTCAGATGAGAATTGCTTTAAGGTGAGAGATGCTCATGTAGTCAAAGACCTTGCTTGTGACAATGTAAGTTGTTAGGATTTTCTGAACCAGAAGTTAAAGCCAGGGTACTTTGACCCATGATTCTACTCTTGGAACTTTTTAGAGTTCCTAATGAATTCATCAGAGAAATACAGAGTGGAAATAGCTATCTTCCTAGACAATCTACTTTGCTTCTTTCCTGCCTTAAAAAAGAAAAGTTACACATGATTTTTACAATTCTGTATTCTTCTTTTTCTCTGGATATTTTTCAGAGTATGCTTTGTAAGTATTATTGTTAGAAAAATGTTGGTACAAATCCATGATTATGGTCATTACAGAAAAGAAAACATGGACCCTGCACACGTGGCCGATACTTGCAATCCCAGCATTCCGGGAGGCTGAGGTGGGTGGATCACTTGAGACCAGCTTGGGCAACATGGCAAAACCCTATCTATGCAAAAAATACAAGAATACAAAGATTAGCCAGGCATGGTAGTGTGCACCTGTAGTCTCAGCTACTCAGGAAAATAAGGTAGAAGGATCATTTGAGCCTGGGAGGTTGAGGCTGTAGTGAGCTCTGATCGCATCACTGCACCCCAGCCTGCTCTGTCCCAAAAAAATGAAATGGAAAAAAAAAAGTCACGTTAGAATTCTATCCTAAAATTATCGTTGATGACATTTCTAAACTTCTCTATACTTTAGTATATAAATGGTCTTTAACTTTTTATTTTTTGTTTTTTTAAGACAGGGTCACAGTCTGTTGCCCAGGCTGGAGTGCAGTGGTGAAATCTTGACTCATTGCAACCTCTGCCTCCTGAGTTCAAGTGATTCTCATCCATCAGCCACCCTAGTAACTGGGATTACAGTCATTTACCACCATGCCCAGCTAAGTTCTATATTTTTAGTAGGGATGTGGTTTTACCATGTTGGCCAGGCTGGTCTCAAACTCTTGGCCTCAAGTGATTTGCCCACCTCAGCCTCCCAAAGTGCTGGGATTACATGTGTGAGCCACTGCATTTGACCTGAAATGGTCTTTAACATATTTTTGCTCAATTAGCAACACTTCTGGATCTTTAATGTCTTTTTTATGGCTATTTGATACTCACTTTATAGAGAATTAATGCTTGTATTGTTGGACATTTAGGTTATTTCCAGTTTTTCACCATTATACTGGATAATTATAAAAGCAAATAGTTGGAAACAACCTAGATTTCCAACTCACTGTGGGGATTGGTTCATGACATGCTGTTATGAATACTGAAGAAATATTTTGCAGTTCTTAAAAATAAATTATAAATTATAAAAATTCAGAGTCTGCCCCCCCAAAAAAAAATCTGTTTTGGAAATAACTGTGCGTTTGTGTATATATTATGTTGTCAGATTATAGCTTTACTAGCAGAGAGGAATTTTTTTTTTTTTGAGATGGAGTTTCACTCTTATTACCCAGGCTGGAGTGTGATGGCATGATCTCAGCTCACCGCAACCTCCGCCTCCCAGGTTCAAGCAATTCTCCTGCCTCGGCCTCCTGAGTAGCTGGGATTACAGGCGTGTGCCACCATGTCGAGCTATTACTGTATTTTTAGTAAAGATGGGGTTTCTCCATGTTGGTCAGGTTGGTCTTGAACTCTCGAACTCAGGTGATCTGCCCGCCTTAGCCTCCCAGAGTGCTGGGATTACAGGCGTGAGCCGCTGCACCCAGCCAGTTGGAATTTTTAAAACTTTAACAGAACACTGAGCTAGATCTAGCTTCTGGCTCTGTGTATTTCTTGACTGGTAGTGTGCCTTGAGAAACCAGAACTCTGAACTTCAGTTTTCTCCTGTATCAAATGAAGGAGGTTGAAATAAAAAGTTCTCAAGTTTCAGGCTCTGATCTTCTCCATGTGATTCTGATAGCTACCTTGTCTGCAGAAAGCCCTTAGGATAAGGGCACTGAGAATCTCAGGGTTCTGAAAGGAGAGATCCATGTGCCATCACCATTGAGCGTTGTTTTGTGCAAAACATGGTTTGCTTGCCTCTATTGGTGTGTTGCTTTTAAGTATGGATTTTTTTAATCACACAAATAATATTTGTAGAACTCAGAATTTCAAAACTTCATATAAATTGGTGCCATTTATAACAAAACTTTTTTGTTTTGGTCTTTTTTTGAAACAGGGTCTCACTCTGTTGCCCAGGCTGGAGTGCAGTGGTGACAAAATGGCTCACTGCACCCTTTGCCTCCTGGGCTCTAGCAGTTCCCCCCCTTCAGCCTCCCAAGTAGCCAGGACCACAGGTGTGAGCCACCACACCTGGCTAATTTGTGTATTTTTAGTAGAGATGGGGTTTTGCCATGTTGCCCCCAGGCTGGTCTCAAACTCCTGGAATGAAGTGATCTACCTGTCTTAGCCTCCTCAAAGTGCTGGGGTTTTAGTCATGAGCCATCACACCTGGTTCTTAATACCTTTGTTTTGTTGTTGTTGTTCCTTATTCTAAGGCATATGAAGCCTTTTTTTTTTTTCTTCTCCTTCTTTTTTAAACATCGTGGCACTTTATTGCCCAGATTGGAGCGCAGTGGTGGGATCTCAGGTCATTGCAACTTCTGCTTCCCAGTTTCATGCAATTCTCCTGCCTCAGTGTCCTGGGTAGCTGGGATTACAGGCGCACACCACCACGCCCAGCTAATTTTCTATATTTTTAATAGAGACGAGGTTTTGTCACGTTGTTTAGGCTGGTCTTGAATTCCTGAGCTCAGGCAATCCACCCACCTCGGCCTCCCAAAGTACTAGGATTACAGGCATGAGCCACCAAACCCAGCCATTTATTGTAGTATTAATGCAGTTATTGGTTTTTGTTGTGTTTTATTTTTTATTTATTTATTTTTTTTTTGAGATGGAGTCACGCTCTGTTGCCAGGGTGGAGTACAGTGGCGCAGTCTCAGCTCACTGCACCCTCAGCCTCCTGGGTTCAAGCAGTTCTGCCTCAACCTCCTGAGTAGCTGGGACTACCGACACGCACCGCCACACCTAGCTAATTTTTGTATTCTTAGTAGAAATGGGGTTTCATCATGTTGGTTTCACCAGGCTGGTCTTGAACTCTTGACCTCATGATCTGCCCACCTTGGCCTCCCAAAGTGCTGGGATTACAGGCATGAGCTACGGTACCTAACCCTCAATGTTGACGTTTTTTTTTGAGATGGAGTTTAGCTCTTGTTGCCCAGGCTGGAGTCTAATGGCTCGAGCTCAGGTCACTCCAACCTCTGCCTCCCATGTTCAAGGGATTCTCCTGCCTCAGCCTCCTGAGTAGCTGGAACTATAGGCATGCACCACCAAGCCTAGCTAATTTTTGTAATTTTTTAGTAGAGACGGAGTTTCACCATGGTAGCCAGGGTGGTCTCCAACTCTTGACCTCAGGTGATCACCCACCTTGGCCTCCCAAAGTGCTGGGATTACAGGTGTGAGCCACTGTGCCCAGCCCCTTTATTTTTTAAACACTGTAAACTCATTTCCATCTTTGTATTACATCCTAGAAGTGGGATTATCAGTGGACAGAGCATTGACATTGTGGTTCTGGCTACATGTGCCATATTTCTTTCTGACAAGCAAAATATTTGTTTTGTAAAACATTCTTATTGGCAGTGATTATTATTTTAGCGAATTCTAGAAGTTTGAAACGTGAAATGGTTATATTTCATTTTACTTGTAGCAAGTGCAGACTTACCTTTATCACTGGCCTCCCAAGATTAAATGTCTTCCTAATTTCTTCAGTTGGGGCAAAGTTTACTAAGTTTATTGCCTCTCTACCTCCTGTTCCTTGAGAAGACGTATTATTGCTGTAGAGATGCTCTTTTGTTTACGCTTAGGTTTCTTATTTGCAGCTTATGTTTATTCAAAGCCAAGGGCAGGTCCAGCTGACTATTGAGCTTCTGGACACAGAAGAGGAGAATTCAGATGACCCTGTGGAAGCAGAGGTATGAGCAAGTACATCACAGAGCCCAGTTGCCAAGCAGAGCTGGCGTGTCCTGAGATTCTGTCCAGTGACCCTGTCTGCCAAAAGACCAAGGCACCTTAGGCCTGTTGAAGGGTGCCTTGGATGCGTGGATGCTTAAAGTACAAGTCAGTGCTTCACTGCACCAAGTGATGCATGGATGACCTGGATGCTTAAAGTACGAGTCAATCCAGCCATGTCTTCAGCTGAAGAGAAGGGCTGCCTGGTTATAGATGTTAACCTCATCTTGCACTTAGTAAAGCTATCTCCTCTAAGGAAGTCTTATGGTTGGCAGCTTTCCTGTTTTTTTCCTAAAGTATAAAAACCAACAAATGAGGTACCATCTTTTTCATGTCATCTTGATTCTTTGGGTCATGTTTACTTTTTATTGGACCAATAAAGCCCAGAGTTCTCAACCTCTGAGTACACAGATGTGATTATCATAGTTGGTTCTGGCAGATAATGTAAATGGCAGAGCCAGGCCATTTGTATGATGATGGGGGGGACATGTGGGATGACTTGTTTGGTGGGAACATTGGCTTATCGTCAGATCTTTTCTTTTTTTTTTTTTTAAATGAGATGTCAGAAATCTAGATTGTAATGTAAGGGATACTTTGAGACATTTGACACAATAATATAAATTTTGTTGTTTAACAAAATCCTCTGTGGGGAAATGAAACTTGGCAGTGAGCCAGCTTCTACCTGTTTACAACTTCTGATAACCTTAGCATCTCAGAGAAACTTAGCAGTATTGCTGGCTAACAGAATTTTTAATCTGTGTTTCAGTACTTAGTAACAATCATGTCATTATAGAAAGGGACTTTTTTTTTAATCTTTAAATTTATAAATTTGTACTGAAGTCATAGAATTTACTAGAGTACCTGATGTGTTAGGAGCTGTTTTTGTGATTTCCTTATTTTGTGTTTGCCATCTTAGCGCTGGTCAGACTATGTGGAGCGATATATGAATTCTGATACTACCTCGCCTGAGCTTCGCGAACATCTAGCACAGAAACCAGTATTTCTTCCGAGGTGAGTGAGCCTTGTCACCTCAGTCTGTACTTACATATGGTTGAGAAATAGAGAGTTAAATGACTTTCACTTTATTGTTTTTCATGTTTTATTCATTTGTTTTATCTGCCGAGGATGCTAAGTCAAGGTTTATGTGGCTGTCACAACATAGGCTTACCTGGAGCATGTGTCAGAGCTGGGAGGTGAGAGTTGTAGGAAATCAACAGTAACCTCCTTACCAAAGCTTCACTCTCAGAAAGAAAGCAGGTTGTCAGCATAAGCTATATAGTTTGTACACATAGTTTAGGTACATTAAGATGCTTACATGAGTTAGGAAATGGTAGAACATTGCCCCAAATCCAAGATCCTAGCCACTAGCCAAGGGCCAACTTTTATATACAGGCTTTTCAAAGAGTAGCAGTCTTAGGCCTGCTATATTAATTAACTCTTTTCTGCACAGAAGTTTTAAAATGTTCCCTCTCTGTATAGGCAGATTATGATACTGATCCTCCAAGTATATGAAAACAGAGTTTAAGAAATATAAAATAGGTAGAATGGCTTTTATCCTTCTTAAAAGTTTTTAATTGAAATCTTATGTCTTAGGTTTTCAAGAAAGTATCATATCAGTGTTATTAGACTTAAGTCCTAAAGAGAGCATGGGAAAAGGGTACCAACAAAAAAGGCCCTGCCAGGTTCTCCATTCATTGAATCATTTGAGCAGTTGCTTTGTCAGGTTCCTCTCAACAAAACAGGCTCCATGCTAATGACATACTACAATAAACCTGTCATCCTATATCTCTCACCAGGATATGAGGAAGGAGGCACATTTATGTCATGTGAGAAAAAAGAAATTGATAAAATCGTTCTGATGGCAGGGTAGTTGAAATGTACGAAACCTTCTCTCTAGAATTTCAGTTTCTCATGTTTTGTGTGACAGCTAAGGGGCTCATTTTATTGGCCTTGAGACCCTTTACACTCTTAGAGCATGAGTACTCCAAAGAGCTTTTGTTTATATGGATCATATATAATATTTACCAAATATAATATAATATTTACCAAGATAGAAACAAACACTGAAACAATGATATGTTTCAAATCTGTAATTCATTTTAAAAATAACAACATTTGGCCATGAGCCAGGGGCTCATGGCTGTAGTCACAGCACTTTGGGTGGCCAAAGCAGCAGCTCACGAGGTCAGGAGGTCGAGACCATCCTGGCTAACACAGTGAAACCCCATCTCTACTAAAAACGCAAAAAATTAGCCAGGCCTGGTGGTGCACGCCTATAGTCCCAGCTACTCAGCAGAATGAGGCAGGAGAATCGCTTGAACTGGGAGGCAGAGGTTGCAGTGAGCCGAGATTGCGCCACAGCACTCTAGCCTGGGCGACAGAGGGAAACTGTCTGAAAAACAAAATAAATAAATAAAATAACAATATTAAGCCCATTGTATTTTCTTAAATAATATTTTTAAAGAATAGAATGGCATTGTTTATATTTTATAAACTAGTGTCTGGCTTACTAGAAGAACAGCTGGATTCTCGTGTCTGCTTCTACATTCAGTCTGTTACATCATGTTGTTTGGTTGAAATATGTGAAGAAAATCTGGCCTCACACAAATGTGTAGCTGGAAAAAGGAGAAGTATTTTCAGATCCTTTCAGATAACTGGATATTCTTTCATGTGACAACAAAACTACTAGTGATAGCTTCTTAACGGTTAGTTGCAATATCAATTTATACATAAGTGGGCTTTTCATACAGTTGCCAAAATCCATTGATTGATTTTGTACCATGAAAGAATCCTTTTTTTCCTCTATGATTTTGTAACTTTATGCAGTTGGCTATTTGGAAAATATTAGCTCACTAAGTTGTACAGACCTACTAAATGTTGATACATTTTACAGTGTCTCCAAAAAAAAACACATTGATTAATATCGCTATCTCCAAGTCATCAGACATCTTAAGTACTGGGAAGATGTCAAGCTCAGGGTGGTGGCTGATACCAGTTCACCGAAATTCATAGTGTTGCTTGAAAATTCCAGTCTTATCATTGAAAACATTATTTTCCTTGAAGTTATTGGCTCCCTTGTTCATATTTGAGAAAACACCCCCCAAATACTTGGCTGAGTTGCCTGCATTTAATCAGTTGTTCTTTCAGGTAAAAATGGTGATCCACCTTAACTCAAGCAATTGCTCCAGTGCTTTTCTCTAAGAATACCATTGTACTTTAGCACACAAAGGTGCTTTATGTGTAGTTCCCATTTTATCACACTGGCATGTTAAAAAGATGTAAACCGAGGGGTGGGATTTAATAACAAATGTTACTGCTTCATTAGAAGCATTCCTTCTCTCTTTTTTTTTTTTCAGGCAGAGTCTCACTCTGTCGCCCAGGCTGGAGTGCAGTGGTGCATCTCAGCTCACTGCAACTTCCACCTCCTGAGTTCAAGTCATTCTCCTGCCTCAGCCTTCCAAGTAGCTGGGATTACAGGTGCATGCCACCACACCCAGCTAATTTTTGTATTTTTAGTACAGACGGGGTCTCCCCATGTTGGCCAGGCTGGTCTCGAACTCCTGACCTCAAGTGATTGCCCTCTTTGGCCTCCCAAAGTGCTGGGATTACAAGGGTGAGCCACCGTGGCCAGCCCATCAGAAACATTCTTAAGTGAAACTGGCTTTTTTACTTAACGTCATTCTGTGGTCAGTGTAAAATGCAAAGACTTGAATCGTAATTGCATTAAGTTACAAAATCGTGGAGGTTTTATTCATGGTACAAAATAAACAAATGGAGTTTGACAACTGTATGAAAAGCTCAGTGATGTATAAATTGATATTGGAATTTGGTAACAATTTGTTCCTAAACAATACAGGCAGCACCAGCATTTTTATTCACCATTACTTTTATGCTGCCAGTGCAGATGTCAACCCAGCAAGAAAGGAAAATAATGTTTTAGTATTATTATGAAAATAGTTTTAATCTCACAGATCTCCTGAAAGGGTCTTGGGACCCTTTTGGTCCCTGGGGTCCTTGGACAAAGAATTGCTGTCTACAGAAATACATATATATACGAAGATACTCACTGAAGCAATATTTTGGGATTTTTTTGAGACAGAGTCTGGCTCTGTCTCCCAGGCTGGAGTACAGGACGGGATCCTGGCCCACTGCAGCCTCTGCCTTCAGGGCTCAAGCGATCCTCCTACCTCAGCCTCTCAAGTAGCTGAGACTATAGGCATTCGTCACCATACCTGCCTAATTTTTAAAAATTTTTTTTTGTAGAGAAGGGGTTTTGCCATGTTGCCCAAGCTAGTCTCAAACTCCAGAGCGCAAGCAATCTGCCTGCCTCCCAAAGTGCTGGGATTATAGGCATGAGCCACAGTGGCCAACCTGAAGCAGTGTTTTTAATAGCAAGTTATGAGAAATTATATAATTGTCAAGCTGATAACCTTTCTTCACTGGATGTTGAAGAGATTTAGCAAGCCTCTCACCCCCCAGGGCATCTAATCATGTGAATTATCTTATTTGTTGGGTATGTAGCGTGGCACTAGTTTATATCATCTGGGGAAATTTTTAAAAATAGGCATTCAAATTATTTTTTGTTATGTGGTTCAGATGAGGAATCTCAATTGAAAGAAGCTGTTAAGGAATGGTAAATTCGGGTACATTCTTCTGCAGCAGTTAAAGAGGATGAGACTAATCTATGTCATAAAATGAAAAACTATTCTTGACAGTAAGTGAAAAGTTGAGGACAAATACATAGTATGATCCCATTTTGTCTTAAAAACAAATCCCAAAGCAGAATTATAGCTGGTAATTACATGTGTAAATTTACAGACAGAGGCCTAGAAGTTTCTAATTAAAACTCTTAACTGGCTGCATCTGCTAAAGTAGGGGATGAGCAAAGATTTCTACTTTTTATTCTGCGTACCTTTGCAGTTGAATTTTTTTTTTTTCAGTGAAACAATTGAACATTTTTGTATGTTTTTAACAAATTGGGATGAGTACTATGCAAACATACAATAAAACTCACTTGGGGGAAGTCATGGGAATCTGCTTCTGGATGGGCTCTCATCCTCCAGGGCTTTTCTGCCATAGGAATCTGCGGCGGATCCGGAAGTGTCAGCGTGGTCGAGAGCAGCAGGAAAAGGAAGGGAAGGAAGGAAACAGTAAGAAGACCATGGAGAATGTGGATAGTCTGGATAAGCTGGAGTGTAGATTCAAGCTGAATTCCTACAAGATGGTATACGTGATCAAGTCAGAGGACTATATGTATCGGAGGACCGCCCTGCTCCGGGCTCATCAGGTGAGAAATAGTAACTGAAATTGCTGTGCACATCTCCCACCCCAGCCAGGACCAGGGGAAGCCCAGAGTCTTCTGATTGTTTCTCTTTGTTTATGGAAACCTGTTCTTAAAGCTGAGATTAACTGAGGAAGTAGGTATATTGGTTTTCTAAGGATGCTGTGACAAAGTACCACAGACTGTATGGCTTAAATGACAAAAGTTCTGGAAACTAGAAGTCCAAAGTCAGGTGCCAGCAGTGTTGGTTCCTTTTGAGGACTGTGAGGGAGAATCTGTTCCAGACCTCTCTTAGCTTCTGGTTCTTTGCTGGCAATCTTTGGCATTTCTGGACTTGTAGATCCCTGCCTTCATCTTCATACGGTGTTTCTAGATCTGTGTGTGTGTGTCTGCCTCCAGATAAGGTCACATTCAGAAATACTGGGGGCTAGGACTTGAATATATGATTGTTGTTATTATTTTGAGACAGTCTCACCTGACTCAGCCTCCCAAAGTGCTAGGATTACAGGCATGAGTCACTGTCCCCAGCCAACATAGAAATTTTAGGGAGAATACAGTTCAGCCCATAAGAGCAGGTAAATACCTGGTGGCACCTTTTTAGTCAAGTTACTCCTGGTATTTACATCTCAAGTAGTATCTTATCTTTTGATTGTATGAGTCCTACCTGTTTTTACATTCTGTCTCAATTGTGAAACCTTCCTGGTACAGCGATGTACAGGGTGTTATGCCAGGCCCTGAGACTACAGCCATGAAGTAGAGCAGATAAGTTAATGTGATGATATGCACTACCAGAGAAACAAATCAGGTGAAGTAATCAAGGGGTAACTGGCATACAGGCCTTGCTTTCACTGGAGGAGTCTTCTCAAAGGAGGTGATGCTTGAGGCCTGAATAAATGAGAAGGAATTAGCCTGGTGAAGAGTTGAGGACGGGTGTTTTCTAAACAAAGAAAACAGCAAGTACAAGACTGAGAGGGAGGAAAGGACTTGGGATGTCTGAGAAATTACAAACACCATTGTGGCTCAAGGTTGCATGAAGTTAGAAGGGTAGGCAGAGGCCACATTGCTTTGTCTAATAGGCCATGGTTTGGATTTTGATTGAGGTGCATTGGGACGTTTGACAAAGATAGCTTGGACTGCTGTGAGGAGAGTGGAGGTGGATATGCATCAAGTTGGAAGAGCAGAGACCACTCAAAAGGGTACCCTGGTCCAAATGAGATGTGGGGACCACCCAGACTACTAGGGTGGCAGTGGAATTGCAAGAATTACATTGTAGATTTTATTTAGTTATTTTTGAGACAGAGTTTCACTCTTGTCGCCCAGGCTGGAGTGTAGTGATGTGATCTCAGCTCACTGCATCCTCTGCCTCCCTAGTTCAAGTGATTCTCCTGCCACAGCCTCCCAAGTACGTGGCACACGTGCACCACCACACCTGGCTAATTTTCTTTACTGTGTGTTGTGTGTCTACCTATCTCTGATTGAAATGATTTGGGACACTGGGCAGCACCAGTTTTGTCTTTGTATCTCTTCTAATATCCTTGCATGTGGGCACCAATAAATTTTTACTGGGTGCATTGGTGGGAACAGAAGCCCCCCAACAGAAGATCTGCCGTGGACTCTGCTTGCCAAAGCAGGGTAACATAGTGAAGGGAGAGTGGGTTTTAAGCCCTTTGCTTTGCACTGTCTGGCTTAGAAGTGGATCTCCATGTTGATAGAAGTGATCACGGTTCATTGGGTCCCACTCAGGATACATTAGAATCAGCTGGTTGCTGGTTTAAAATGCAGATTGGTAAAACCAAGGAAATGTGGGGGTTTTTTGTTTTTTGTCTTTTTTGAGACAGGGTTTGGCTCTGTCATCCAGGCTGGAGTGCAGTGGTGCGATCTTGGCTGACTGCACCCTCCACTTCCCGGCTCAAGCGATCCTCCTACTTCATCCTCCCTAGTAGCTGGGACTACAGGTGTGTGCCACCATGCCCAGTTAAATTTTGTATTTTTGTGGAGATGGGGTTTTGCCATATTGCTCAGGCTGGTCTCGAACTAAAGTGAACTGCCTGCCTTGGCCTCCCAGAGTACTAGGATTACAGGCGTGAATCACTGTGCCTGGTTAGAAATGTGTATTTTTAATGCATTCCCTAGGTTATACTAATGCATGCTAAAATTGAGAACAGTGAGCTTTTTCAGCCCAAAAACTGTGTTCACATTTCTTTGGAGGCTTTATGGATTTTCATGTCCATACATGTTTTATGTTCTTACCTCTTTAACTTTTCTTTAAACAGAGAATTGTTTTTTTCCTTGGAGACAGAGTTTTACTTTTGTCACCCAGGCTAGAGTGTAGCGGTACGATCTTGACTCACTGCTACCTCCACCCTCCTGGGTTCAATCGATTCTCCTGCCTCAGGCTCCCGAGTAACTGGGATTACAGGTGCCTGCCCCTACACCCAGCTAATTTTTGTGTTTTTGGTAGAGACAAGGTTTCACCATGTTGGCCAGGCTGGTCTCAAACTCCTGACTTCAGGTGATCTGCCCATCTCTGCCTCCCAAAGAGCTGGGATTATAGGCGTGAGCCACCATGCCCAGCCAAGAATCTTTTTTTTTTTTTTTCCCAAAGGAAAAAACAATAGTATCTAAGACTGAAGCCCACACCTTTCCTCTGTCCCTTTAGAAGAAAATTGGGCTTTGTATTTGAAGGGTTCTTTTTTGGTTCTGCTTCATTTAATTAAAAAAAATTTTTTTTTTTTTTCCGGTTTTGCAGTCCCATGAGCGTGTAAGCAAGCGTCTACATCAGAGATTCCAGGCCTGGGTAGATAAATGGACCAAGGAGCATGTGCCCCGTGAAATGGCAGCGGAAACCAGCAAGTGGCTCATGGGTGAGGGGCTGGAGGGCCTGGTGCCCTGTACCACCACCTGTGATACAGAGACCCTGCATTTTGTGAGCATTAACAAGTATCGTGTCAAATACGGCACAGTATTCAAAGCCCCTTAACTGCAGAGCCAGAGCAGATAACTTGGGGTGTGTGTGTGTGTGTGTGTGGGCCTGCCTATGCACTCACACACTGAAGAAACAAGGAAGATGCCTTTCAAGCCTCACTGGGCCTCTCTGGGACATGGCCACGTGACCTGTGTGTGGCTGGTGCAGCCTGGCGCCAAGTGGGCTACTTTAGGAACATGAATACCTTACAAAGCTGAAGCTGGAACTTTTCCCAAAGGGTTTTTGGTATAGCCTGCCTTGGAGGGGAAGGAAGTCCATGCAAGCAAAAACATGCTGTTTGCTTGCATACACCAGCAGAGCTAAGACTGGAGTCACCTGTGGCCTAACTTTCAATGAGGGAACCGGATGCTATTCACACTTTGACTGTTTGGAGATGCATTTACAAAACAGACTGGGGAACGATTTAATACTCAGATGGATTGGAACTATGATGGTCACTGCTCCTCTCCCCTCCCCACAAAAGGAAAAAAAACTGGATTTGATTTTTTTTTTTTTTTTTCTGGTCACCTGAGCACATCTAAGGTCACCCATTAGGTTTTATCTGGGACCTGCAGTTTGGCTTTGGGATAGATCATCTTGTGGATTTTATTCCTGATGAATCCCTTGCTGCCTACCCTTTTCTCTCCTCTGGTTCTCAGCCTCAACAAGTTCAAATCAGTCGTCCTTTTTAGCTCCCGTGGAACTGTTTTGTATCTGCCTCTTTACTAGTCTGCCCTAGTGCCATCCACCAGCTTTACTCTCTGAGACACACACACGCGCACACACACACACACAATTTTAACTTGTTTTTTTGTACATAATGTACATACTGTCAATTTTTTATTAAAAGAAATATGCTTTGATGTGCTAGCATAACTGCTCTAGCTTCTTGTGTACTATAGTACTATGTGGCTTCAGATTTAGTACCTATGAACAGATGTACAAGACATTTATTACACTTTTTACCAAAGGGAGTTACCATTGTAGTACTTTTGTGTAAAACTTGTCTTCCCCTTTGCCCCGGACTTTTTTTTTTTTTTTTTTTTTTTTTTTGTAAATAAATAAAGCTTGGTTCTTACTTAAGGAATAAACTCTCAACCCATGTCCCTTGTCCTCACTAGAAAATATTGTGAAGCAGGGATTTTGGCTTCAGTTCCTTATCCAGGGTACAAACAGGATTTGCTTTAAATACTTGTTACTTGCACTTGTCCCAAATCAAAATATTCCAAAATCTTAGAATATTTCAGTCTTTTAGTGTATTTTTTTTTCCTTTGTTCAACTATCTGAAAATATTTTATATTGGGTAAGTTGTCAAGCTGTGTAGTTTGTATTTCTATATATTTTTTCTTACATTGGTGATGGATGGGGGCGAGCAACTTAAATACCAACCCAGTATTTGAAAAAGTGTGTAAAGCATGTGGTATACCTTATAAATGGGGTTGGGAGGGAGAGAATTTGAAATGGGATACCTATTTTTTTAATGACATAAATTTAAACTAGCAGACATTTAAACATGAATGATTAGGATTTTTCTATGTGGTTAAACTGGACTTTGTGAACAAAGACCAACTAAGCCCCTCCCAGTACTCTGGTCGATTTTTCTTCAGCAACCATTATGCAAGTCTTAGTTGTAACCAGCAATGTTTTGGGTGTTTTATGTTTACTTTTTAGTTAAAAATCTCCAACCTGCCACCAAAAAGAAAAACACTATTTTTTGGCTCCTGGATTTTCAAAACACATGGTAGACCTCTGATTTTAGGCTTTTATTATTGTTTAAAGACAAAGTCTTACTTTATCACTCATACTGGAATGCAGTGGCACAATCATAGCTCACTGCGGGCTTGACCTCCCAGGCTCAAGCAAATCCTCCCACCTCAGCCTCTTGAGTAGCTGCATGCCACCATGCCCGGCCAATTTTTTAACTTTTTGTAGAGACAAGGTCTTGCTATGCTGCCCAGGCTGGTCTCAAACTCCTGGCCTCAAGCCATCCTGCCACCTCAGCCTCCCAAAGGGCTGGGATTACAGGCGTGAGCCACCAGACCTAGCCTGATTTTAGGCTTTTGTTTTGTTTCGGGGAGAGGAGACTGTGGGCCAAAGTGTAAGGTGCCAAAAAGAGCTTTGTGGGAGGAGAGTTTAGGGCAAAGCTGGGGCAGTGACACCTGTCTGCAGGTCAGGATTGGAATTCAAGGCCAGTTCAAAAGAAAGCCCCAACCCGCCAGTGCAGCCAACAGAAGAGGAAGTTTTAATTAGTACAGCCTGAGTTTTCAGAAGCAGCATTTTTAATTTTTATTCCTCCTGCTGTCAGACATCTGAGCTCCAAGCTCTAAACCCAATCTGTATTATATGCAGCAGCAGGTTATCTTTATTTTAAATTACATTTGATATTCTGTACTTAAGTCACCTTTCCGTGTGATTTGCATTTGAAATGTTGTAAACTTGGTCAGTATTTCCATTAAAATATCAGGGCTAATCTTGTGTATTTTTTTTTTCTTCCTAATGATTTTATAGACAAAGACTCTCTTGGCAACCCCGGTAGAAAAAAAAAAAATAAAGCTGCAGTAGAGTACTAGGAATGAGAATGAAACTGGAGGCCTGTTTCTGCTATTATGGCTTCCCTGGACTCTACAGTCCTGTATGGTGAAATACATTTTTCTGTCGTGATCAGTAATCCCATGACTGTTTTGACATCTCAAACTCGTTTCCGAGTTTCTGGTGATGTGCAATGTATACTGATATACATTCAGTAAAGCATGTGATCCTAGAAGTCGTGGTCACTTGGGCGTAAAGCTCTACCTTCCTGTTAACACCCTGACCTCCGTCCGGTATAAAAACACCCATTCTAGGCAGTCTGGCTCTCCACGTGAAGCAAACCAGTTTCCGTGTTAACCGACAGCTAGAAGCAGAGGTCTCCCGGTTGCTGCTTCTGAGGCTGGGTCTGCAGCAGCTGAGGCTCCTGCCCTTCCTGCCGAAGGGCCTAAGTGTCTGTCCCGACACCTTTGAGAGTTCTAATAATGGATTTCCCATTTTATTTTGAGATTTGCCCTTGCGGCCCACTAGCTCGGACAGCATAGGAAAGCCTCGAAAGTGCAGTTTATAGCTTCCAACTCGGCTCAAGGTTCAGACGGCACCTGGGCTTCCGAGAGCCACTGGTGTTCCACGAAAAGCTGCCCGGGACTGGAAGGCGCCCTCTGGACGCCGGAACCTTTGGTTTCCTGCCGTGGAGCGAAACAGCGCCAGGGGCCTTCCGGAAAGAGGAGCGAGAACTCAGCGATCGTGATGGCAGCGGCACCGGCTCTGAAGCACTGGCGCACCACTCTGGAGCGGGTAGAGAAGTTCGTGTCGCCGCTCTACTTTACCGACTGTAACCTCCGCGGCAGGTGTGGTCCCAGGTCCCGGCAGCCGGCCGACGGCATCCGTGCGCCTCAGCCTTTACTTCCGGGGGGAAACCCAAACTGCAGCCACCCGGGCCGGGGGACGAAGTGCCTGCCGCAGACAAGACGAGCCAGGGAGGAGGGGGTAGGGAGTGGAATGTGCCGTGGCGCGGCCAGGCAGCCCTCTTGGTGGAGGATCCAGGGAAAGCGAGGCCCCACCGGCTAGCTGGCCCCCGGTCGGAAACAGAGCGGCCTCCAGCACGCGCCCACCTGTCGGTCCCACGCAGGCTTTTTGGGGCCAGCTGCCCCGTGGCCGCGCTTTCAAGCTTCCTGACACCGGAGAGACTTCCCTACCAGGAGGCAGTCCAGCAGGACTTCCGCTCGGCGCAGGTCGGCCACAGCTTCGGACCCACGTAGGTAACATCCGGTGGGTGGGCGGGGCCAGAGGGCCCAAGGGACGTCCCAACCCAGCACTTGGCCACGCCTTCGTTGTCCGCCCTCTGCCCTAGGCAACTACGCGGGACTGAGCAGCACCCTCTGTTGGGAACAGCTCCCTGGTTCCTCAGTCTTCAGGGGAGGGTTTTCATCCCCTTCTAGCCGCTTCTGGGCACCCTAACGGAACTCTGATAACCTCTGCCTCTTTCCCTTATCTTGCCGCTCACCTTGTTGCTCCTTTCTTGTGGCTCAAAGCTGAGTACCTTGTGACACTGCAGGTGCTTGGAGAGTCTCAGGCCCCTGCCCAACACTTTATCCAAAGTGTTGGTTAAAGGTGTTGGATGTCAGGAGAGGGCTTCTACCTCTAGGCCGATCACAACAGCTCTCTTGCAGATGGTGGACCTGCTGGTTCCGGGTGGAGCTGACCATCCCAGAGGCATGGGTGGGCCAGGAAGTTCACCTTTGCTGGGAAAGTGATGGAGAAGGTCTGGTGTGGCGTGATGGGGAGCCTGTCCAGGTGAGGAGCCCTACCATAGGGCCAGGTATGGCCATATTTCAGCCCTGAAATGACCACAGCCCTTCTCCTGTAGATTCTGGAGAAGCCACAGCTGAGTGGCATCACAGGGTGGCATCACAGTTTCAGGACTAGGGAAATTGCCATTTTGGCATCTGTGTAATTGGTCCTTAGTTTTTATTATATGTAATACAAACTTATAGGCAAACATTTCAAACAGTTCTAGATAAAATAATGGATCGTTCCCTATCACCTATCCCATTCCCCAGCTATAACCAGTGTTAAGTGTCTTGTTCATTCTCCAACCTTAACAGGTTTAGTCCTTATACTCCTATGTGGTAGGTCTTTATACTCATTTACAGATTAAGATACTGAGATATGTAGAGGTTAGTTCAGTCACTCAGGTTCACACAGCTTCCATTTCAAATTGGATTGACTCTCAATCTAGGGTCAAGACTGTTCTTCCTTCTGTCCCTCCCTTTACTGGCTCAGCAAATATCCCCTGGTGTCCATTCTGGGCCAGACCCTTAAGCACGAGGGTGTAGAAGGGAATGCGGCAAACCTGCCCCTGACTTCATAGAGTTTCTTTTCAGGTATTTATTTAGGGGTGCAGAGGCCACCAGAAACCACACTCAGGCCACCTAACCCTTTCTCAGTACCCTTCCCCTAAGACCATGGGCTTTTCCACTAGGAAACAGGGGCTATAAAAAAATAATAATAATAAAAAAAAAAAGGAAACGGGCTATTTGGTGGTCATGGTGCCAGCTGCCGTGGGAGTTGGGGCCTCTGCCAGGGATCCCTGATCTGCCAATCTTGACCCTGCTTGGCAGGGAGGAACCAGAGCTGGGACCAGTGGGGACCAGGATACTTTACCTGAGCTGTCCAAAGGCTTCAAGCCTTGTCTCTTTCACTCCCCTCCCTACTAGGGTTTAACCAAAGAGGGTGAGAAGACCAGCTATGTCCTGACTGACAGGCTAGGGGAAGGAGACCCCCGAAGGTGAGTCCCTATGCCCTGGCTGACCAGTGCTGTCAGGAAGGGAGTACCAGTGAGCAAGGAGTAGCTGAGGCCCAGAGTGATCTCAGAAGCACCCCTCTGCTCCAGCACAAGCATCCTTACATCTCATCACTTGCTTTTAGAAAGCATGATTTTTGCCTAACCATAAAAGTAATGGGCTGGGTGCAGTGACCCACACTGCCAGCGAGGCTGAGGTGGGAGGATCACCTGAGCCCAGGAGGTCGGGGCTACAGTGAACCACAGCCTGGGTGACGGAGTGAGACCTTGTCTCAAAAATAATAATGTTTGCCTTCTTGTGGTAAATACAGGAAACCACAAAGAAGCAAACCACTACCATTATTCCACTCCCTAGAATAGAGATGGCCATTATTAACATCTCAATATTCATGTTCTTCATTTTAGAAACGAAGTCTCCCTCTGTCACCAAGGCTGGAGTGCAGTGGTGCAGTATTGGCTCACTGCAACTTCTGCCTCCCAGGTTCAAGCGATTCTCATGCCTCAGCCTCCTGAGTAGCTGGGATTACAGGTGTGCGCCACCACACCCAGCTATTTTTTGAATTTTTATTAGAGACGAGGTTTCACTGTGTTGGCCAGGCTGGTCGCAAACTCTTGACCTCAGGTAATCCGCCCGCCTCAACTTCCCAAAGTGCTGGAATTACCTGAGCCACCACGCCTGGCCCAGTATTCATGTTCTTGGTGTATCTTTCTGGCATAGTTTTTATTAGTTCAGATTCTATTTCCTATTGTATTCTGACTTCTTACATTCCATATCATAACATGGACATTTTATGACACCATTAAAAACACTTCTTAGACATTATGATTGTGTTTTATATTGATTGAACATTTCAAATGCTTCCAGATACTGAGAGTATGGAGGTGAATAAAATAGTCCTTGACAACAAAGGGAGGCAAATCTACTCACATGTGACAACACTGAGGGCTCTGGAAGGAAATCTTGGGTACTCCATTGAGGACTTAGCTCTACACTTAGCGGGGAAGTGAGGTCAGGAAGCCCTCCCTGAGGAAGTCATGTTTGCTCTCTGAAGATGAGTATGGCAGCACCACAGCCCAGCCTGTTCTCCAGTGAATGACCTGCCCGTGCTGGCCATGCTGGTTTTAGATCTTGGGTCTGAAAGTTCGAGCCTGAGAGATCCAAACATGCTTTTAATATGCAAAGAGGCTTCCAAGGCCAAGGCAGTGCTTTGCACAGACAACTTTGGAAATATCTAAGACTAAACAGCAGTATCATTTAGATGATTACAAACTTTGCTGCTTATCCTCCCTGACAGCAGGCCTTGGGATCCATCTGGTGTCTCTGGCACAGCCCTCCCACATGCACTCTTAACGTACTGGGGGATCCTCTGGGTGGTGGATCCTGGAGGCAGACAGGTTGGGCTCAGCTGGATTCCTTCTGGGTGCCGCCTCCCCAAGTCCCCGGAGTCCTATGCCACGATCTTGGCCTGAGGCTGCCTCCCCATGTTTATAGCCTCACCCTCTATGTGGAAGTGGCCTGCAATGGGCTCCTGGGGGCCGGGAAGGGAAGCATGATTGCAGCGCCTGACCCTGAGAAGATGTTCCAGCTGAGCCGGGCTGAGCTGGCCGTGTTCCACCGGGATGTCCACAATCTCTTGGTGGATCTGGAGCTGCTTCTGGGCATAGCCAAGGTAATCAACACCCCCTAGACTCCCTGGTACCCTCTAGAGCCCTGCTCCAAGAACCTGTTTCTTGGGTCAGGTAAGTGGGACTCTGGGAATCCAGAGTAGGAAGAGGGTTTCCACCTGCTTGAGGGTTGAGAGAATTTTCCTATTTGAAGGGGAGCAGGGAGATGGTGCTGAGCAGGGGGACCAGCAGGGAAAAAGGGTTAGAGGTCAGGGGACCTCTGCTGATAGCCCTGAGGAGATAAGTGGGACTGATGGTCTGGAAGCCATGCTTGAGCAGGGGATTCAGGGCAGGACCCTCCTGCAGGGCCTCGGGAAGGACAGCCAGCGCAGCTTCCAGGCCCTGTACACAGCCAACCAGATGGTGAACGTGTGTGACCCTGCCCAGCCCGAGACCTTCCCGGTGGCCCAGGCCCTGGCCTCCAGGTTCTTTGGCCAACGCGGAGGTGAAAGCCAGCACACCATTCATGCCACAGGGCACTGCCACATTGATACAGGTAGGACAGCAGCTGGTTGGGCTGGCTGGGGAGGCAGGAGTGCCCTTGAAGACCTGGATGTGCCCTAGAAGCATTTGTGTGATGCTTAGCAAGTTCTTGCTCCTCTTGAACCTCAGTATTCCCCATCTGTAAAATGGGGCAGAGGGGGCTGGACTATGGGCTCTGCTTGCTGTGGATTCATTTTTTCTTTCTTTCTTTTCTTTTTCTTTTTTTCTTTTTTTTTGTGACGGAGTCTCACTTTTGTCACCTAGGCTGGCGTGCAGTGGCGTGATCTCCCTCACTGCAACCTCCACCTCCTGAGTTCAAGCAATTTTCTTGCCTCAGCCCCCATGAGTAGCTGGGACTCTAAGTGCATGTTACCACACCTAGCTAATTTTTGTATTTTTAGTAGAAATGGGGTTTCACCATGTTGGCCAGGCTGGCCTCGAACTCCTGACCTCAGGTGATCCGCCTGCCTTGGCCTCCCATCCTTGGCTGAGATTACAGGTATGAGCCCCCATGCCCGGCCTCATTTATTCTTTCAACAAAATCTGTTGCCTCATGGGGCCCGTGCTAGATATTGGGGATAGGATTACAGAGACAGATGATCACAGAATCAGTAGGCAGAGTTGGTGTGATGCTGGTGGGGAGCCTGGGGCACTGGAGAGCACGGAAGAGGTCCTTACTCCAGCTGGGTGGGGGGGATTCCAGAGGCTTCCTGGACAAGCTTGCAGAGTCTGAGTTTGATGGGGAATCCACGTTTTTAACAAGCTCCTGAAGGTATTGATTCTGATGCAGCTGAAGTTTTGGGATCACAGAACAAGGGTTTCTCTGCTGTGCCAAGATGTAGGGTAGGGCGTGAGAGGTTTTGGGCTGGTAAGAAAGGAGCTGCGGCCTGGGGGTCAGGAGAGCCTACAGCACCTCTGGCAGGATAGCTGGCTCCAACCTGGGAGCCGTGCCCTATTTCCCAGGTCTCCGTCAAGTGTGTGCAGGGGCAGGGTACTCCCTGCTGCCTCTCGTAGGATCCTCTTGGGGGTATCTAATCCCCCAAGAGGACTGAGGCTATTCCGGGACCTGGAGCCTCCATCCCCTGACCTGTCATTGGTCTTATAGCACTGCCCGCCTCCTTTCCCCAGCCCCTCCTCCCACCTCGCTGGAGTGAAGTGACCTTTCAGGAAGGACACCAGGGGACCCTCCAGGGTGAAGGGCCTGGGATGGGAGTGGGGCTAGGTTACCTTCTGGATTCCCAGCCTGGGCCTGTTCAGCCTTACCGCTCCCTCCACCCTCCACCCTCTCCCCGTCTAGCCTGGCTTTGGCCCTTCAAGGAGACCGTGAGGAAATGTGCCCGGAGCTGGGTGACCGCCCTGCAGCTCATGGAGCGAAACCCTGAGTTCATCTTTGCCTGCTCCCAGGTCAGAGGGACAGCTGCAAGGGGCAGGGGAGGCACGCACCCCCTCCTGGAGCTCCACAGGCCCCGAGGGCTTCCCGGGCCTGGGGGCAGGGCTGCTCCTTACCCTCAGCCACTCACTGGGTCCCAGATGCTTGGCCCTGGGTGGGGCCCTCGTCACTCTGGGCCCAGCTCCCCTCAACCTGCCCACAGGCGCAGCAGCTGGAGTGGGTGAAGAGCCACTACCCCGGCCTGTACTCCCGCCTCCAGGACTTTGCCTCCCGTGGGCAGTTTGTGCCCGTGGGGGGCACCTGGGTGGAGATGGTAAGTGCACTGGGCGCCCCTCAGCCTTGAACCATGTGACGACGGCCTTCCCTCGGGTGGCCCCAGCCCTCCTGCTTTGTTGGTGACTCTGCAGGCCACTCAGTTCCTCTCTGGGGCAGGGCTGGCTCATCAGTCCCTGGGATGTCACAGCCTCCAGAGCTGTGACAGGTTGCATGCCCTAGTCCCAGGCACCGCCTGAGGCAGATGGACAGTCAGGCCTGAAGGATGGGAGCTGGAGCTGCCATGTCAGAGCAGCCCTGGCTTCTCCTGCAGGGTTGGGTTGGCCTGAGCGCCCACTGCTCCCCATCTGCCCCCCACTCCCTTCTCTCCAGGACGGGAACCTGCCCAGTGGAGAGGCCATGGTGAGGCAGTTTTTGCAGGGCCAGAACTTCTTTCTGCAGGAATTTGGGAAGATGTGCTCCGAGGTAGGCTGAGAGCTATTGCAGCAGGCTGTGGGCAGATGGGGCTGGCGTGCGCCTCGGAGTGCTTAGGGGCTGAGGCCGAGGGGAGGCCACTGGGAGCCCTGCTTCCTGCGCTCCAGGACCTTCTTCCCTACAGTTCTGGCTGCCGGACACCTTCGGCTACTCGGCACAGCTCCCCCAGATTATGCGTGGCTGTGGCATCAGGCGCTTTCTCACGCAGAAATTGAGCTGGAATTTGGTGAACTCCTTCCCGGTGAGCAGGCAGGCCCCTGGGGGGTCAGGGTCAGAGTGGGCCTCAGTCCCACCTGGCCCATTTGCCTCTCCCCCTTTTTGAGGGGTCACAGAGAGACCACCAACCCTCCCCCACAGACAGCGTGTCACACAGCAGGTAGGGGCAGGACTAAGTCTGGAGGTTCTGCCTCTGCCTCAGCCCTGACTCTGGCTGCTCCACCCTGCCTCTGTTTCCCTGCCGGTAGCACCATACCTTTTTCTGGGAAGGGCTGGATGGCTCCCATGTACTGGTCCACTTCCCACCTGGCGACTCGTATGGGATGCAGGGCAGCGTGGAGGAGGTGAGGGGATGCCTAGGGTGCTGGGGCGGGGGCAGGCTGGAGAGGGCTGGCTTATTCCAGGCTGACCCACGCCGGCCTGACCTCACCTGTCCAGGTGCTGAAGACCGTGGCCAACAACCGGGACAAGGGGCGGGCCAACCACAGTGCCTTTCTCTTCGGCTTTGGGGATGGGGGTGGCGGCCCTACGCAGACCATGCTGGACCGCCTAAAGCGCCTGAGCAATACGGACGGGCTGCCCAGGTCAGGCCAGGCCTTGGCTCTCCTTCAGCCCCATCCTGGGCCATTGCCAGGAACCCTGCCTTCCCTCAGACATGGGGCCCACCCCTCCTCTGGACCTTGTCCTGTTCCAATCCTAGACCATGGGCTCCTCCAAACTTCCACCCTGAGGTTGGGGGGAAGCTGAAGGTGGTAAGGGCTCCAGCCCACCAGAGAGAGAAGCTCTCCTATGGTGTCCAGGGCTGGCATTGTGTGGATGGGGAGCTTTCTGGAGTGGCTCCTGTCTGCAGGGGCTGGATCCTTTTTCCGCTCTGGTGTGGAAGAAGGGGTAGCCATGTGGTCTCCAAGGCTGGGACACTCAGGCTGTGGTCTTCTCAGGGTGCAGCTCTCTTCTCCAAGGCAGCTCTTCTCGGCGCTGGAGAGCGGCTCCGGGCAGCTGTGCACGTGGGTCGGGGAGCTCTTCCTGGAGCTGCACAATGGCACCTACACCACCCACGCCCAGGTCAGGGACTGGCTGCAGGGAGGGTGTGGCCTTGATCTGCAGAGGGTCAGAGAAGGCAGCAGGGGGCACAGCCCAGGCCAGACCTAGGAGAAGAGGTTCATGTTCCAGGAAGTTTGGAGGAGTCGAGTCCAAGACCTGGGTTCGCCATGAAAGCGGGAGGAGGCAGTGTCTCTAAAGAAAGAGGGGCTTGGGCGCCAGGGAAAAGACGGAAAGCATTTGAGGCAGGTCACCGGCCAGAGGCCTTCTTCACGAGGGCCCTGGGGAGTCCCCAGGGATGCTGAGCACGGGAGGGCTTTGGAAGGTGTCCTGGGACACTTATGCAGGCTCCAGACTGATACTCCCATCCCGGGCTCAGATCAAGAAGGGGAACCGGGAATGTGAGCGGATCCTGCATGACGTGGAGCTGCTCAGCAGCCTGGCCCTGGCCCGCAGTGCCCAGTTCCTGTACCCAGCAGCCCAGCTGCAGCACCTCTGGAGGTCAGCCCGGGTCTGCCCCTGCCACCCACCTAACTGCTCACTGCGGACACCTCTGTGGCTGTCCCTCCCAGCCTTTCCATCCCTGCCCTTGGCCCCTGCAGGCTCCTGCTTCTGAACCAGTTCCATGATGTGGTGACCGGAAGCTGCATCCAGATGGTGGCAGAGGATGCCATGCGCCACTATGAAGGTTAGGCTCACAGTAGTCCCACCCGCTCTCTCTAACCCCAGGGCTGAGCCCAGAGTGTCTCCCCTGTGGGATACTCATGGGCCCATTCCAGACCTGTTGCCCACCCATGACCAGTCAGTCTCTCCTCAGACATCCGTTCCCATGGCAATACACTGCTCAGCCATGCGGCCGCAGCCCTGTGTGCCGGGGAGCCAGGTCCCGAGGGCCTCCTCATCGTCAACACCCTGCCCTGGAAGCGCACCGAAGTAATGGCCCTGCCCAAGCCGGGTGGGGCCCACAGCCTAGGTACGAGCTGAGGGGAAGGGGTGCTACTGTGGCAGGAAGGGTGGAGGCCAGACAGATCAGGCCTGGGATAGCCCTGGGGGTCTCTGCCCTGGGTGCCCCAGATTGGAGAGTAGCAGCACATCCTCTACCACCCCACCCCACCTGTGCAAGCTTCCTGGAAGGTCAGGGAGGCTGCACTGATGCCCAGGCCTCACCCCTAGCCCTGGTGACCGTGCCCAGCATGGGCTATGCTCCTGTTCCCGCCCCCACCTCGCTGCAGCCCCTGCCGCCCCAGCAGCCTGTGTTTGTAGTGCAGGAGGTGAGTCCTGCCTGCCCTGGGGGCAGGAGCGGGGATGCTTTCTAACCCAGCCCGGGTCCTGAGTTCCTCTGCCTGGAGCAAGTGGTGAGGCGGGGCTGGGGCTGGGGTGGTGCCGGGGCTGGGCTGGGAGGACTTTTGGTGTGGGAAGCCCCTACAAACTCAGCCTCAAGGCCTCCTCCCACAAAGACTGATGGCTCCGTGACTCTGGACAATGGCATCATCCGAGTGAGGCTGGACCCGACTGGCCGTCTGACATCCTTGGTCCTGGTGGCCTCGGGCAGGTACCAACTCCTCACTGCCCTTTCCCAGTACCCGGCAAATAGATCCCAGCCTGCTTCCTCTCTCCCATGGCCACAACACTGCCCACAGCAACCCACCAGTGGGTCTGGGCTGGAGCCCACACATGGGGCAGGGCAGGCTGGGCAGTAGTCCCCTGTCTGCTGGGGCTGCTCACTCCACCCTACCCCACCAAGTGCAGCTGGAGGGAGCGAAGTCACATGGTTGTAAGCACCAATCCCATGTCCTTCCAGGGAGGCCATTGCCGAGGGTGCCGTGGGGAACCAGTTTGTGCTGTTTGATGATGTCCCCTTGTACTGGGATGCGTGGGACGTCATGGACTACCACCTGGAGACACGGTATGGGCCGGGCAGCACATGGTGACAGTGGAGGTGGTGGGAACACAGGCTGCTCTGGCTCAGTGTGTCCACTCTTCCCATAGGAATCCTGTGCTGGGCCAGCCAGGGACCCTGGCAGTGGGTACTGAGGGCGGCCTGCGGGGCAGCGCTTGGTTCTTGCTGCAGATCAGCCCCAACAGTCGGCTTAGCCAGGAGGTCGTGCTGGACGTTGGCTGCCCCTATGTCCGTTTCCACACTGAGGTAGCAGGGGGGTCAGGGGGTGGCTGTTTTCCCCAAGCATGCTTGGTAAGGAGGGGGCAGCCCCAGGCCTGGGTGTGTCTCTTCCTGCCCTTACTCCCACCCTCCATCCCTCTCCCAGGTACACTGGCATGAGGCCCACAAATTCCTGAAGGTGGAGTTCCCGGCTCGTGTGCGGAGTTCCCAGGCCACCTATGAGATCCAGTTCGGGCACCTACAGCGGCCCACTCACTACAACACGTCTTGGGACTGGGCTCGATTTGAGGTCTGACATGGTAGGGTGGGGGTGGCCTTGGACTCCTCCGTGGCTGGGGAGACTGGTTGTTTTGTACGGGCTGGGGAGGAAGAGGATAATCAACATTTGCTGCTTCCTAACATGTGCATTGTACTAAACACTTTACATTGGCCAGGCGCGGTGCCTCACGCCTGTAATGCCAAGGGAGGCTACGGCAGGCAGATCACCTGAGGTCAGGAGTTCAAGAGCAGCCTGGCCAACATGGAGAAACCCTGTCCCTATTAAAAACACAAAAATTAGCTGTGTGTGGCGGCACATGCCTATTATCCCAGCTACTCGGGAGGCTGAGGCAGGAGAATCACTTGACCCCGGGAGGCAGAGGTTGCAGCGAGCAGAGATCATACCACTGCACTCCAGCCCAGGCAACAGACTGAGACCCTGTCTCAAAAAAAAAAAAAAAAAAAACACCCCCAAAAAACTTAACATTTAATTTGATACTCATGATCATTTGGTGGGATAAGTACTATTATTTATTCCTGTTTCTCAGATAAGGAAACTGAGGCTTAGGCAGATAGGGTGGCATGCCCAGGCCCCCTAGAGTGGGAGCTGGAGTTGAGTTGTATGGTTCTAGGGCTTGCGCCCCGCCAAGTGACGGGAGCTCTGGAGTCTGGGAGCAAAAGGAGAGGCACGGGGCCAGCATGTGTGTCTTGGATCTGCCCTCAGGTGTGGGCCCACCGCTGGATGGATCTGTCAGAACACGGCTTCGGGCTGGCCCTGCTCAATGACTGCAAGTACGGGGCGTCAGTGCGAGGCAGCATCCTCAGCCTCTCACTGTGAGTGGGGTACCCACCAGGCCTGGGAGCTGGCAGGGGACATGGGTCTTCCCGGCCGCAATTCCACCAGCTTCAACCCGACCCCCACCCGCCCTCCTCACCCCAGCTTGCGGGCGCCTAAAGCCCCAGACGCTACCGCTGACATGGGGCGCCACGAGTTCACCTACGCGCTGATGCCGCACAAGGGTGAGTGCTGGGGACGGTGGGGCCTTCCTGCAGCCCTAGACACCTCTCTGCCCTTCTCTGAGCACAAACCCCAGCAGCCTGGCTCCCTGCCCTCCTAGGGACATGGGAGGGAAACCTCCATTCTCCCCCAGCATCGCTTTCTGGCTGTATCCCAGGCTCTTTCCAGGATGCTGGCGTTATCCAAGCTGCCTACAGCCTCACCTTCCCCCTGTTGGCTCTGCCGGCCCCGGGCCCAGCGCCAGCCACCTCCTGGAGTGCCTTTGCCCTGTCTTCACCCGCCGTCGTATTGGAGACGGTCAAGCAGGCAAGGGGTGGGACGTGCCGGGGGCGGGGTCCCGGCCTGGGTGCCCCCTTGGCCTCGCCCACCAGCCGCGTCCCTCTGCAGGCTGAGAGCAGTCCCCAGAGCCGCTCGCTGGTCCTGAGGTTGTATGAGTCCCACGGCAGCCACACGGACTGCTGGCTGCATCTGTCGCTGCCGGTTCAGGAGGCCATCCTGTGAGTGGCGCCGCGAGGTGGGGGCGGGGGTAGGTCCTGCCCTGGCAGAGCCCTCATGGCCCCTCCTGTTCTCCAGCTGCGACCTCTTGGAGCGACCAGACCCTGCTGGCCACTTGCCCCTTCGGGACAACCGCCTGAAGCTCACCTTTTCTCCCTTCCAAGTGCTGTCCCTGTTGCTCGTGCTGCAGCCTCCACCACACTGAGTCCCTGGGGCTGGGGTTTTGTTTGTGGAAGGCTTTGGGGACTCCTAATTTCTGCTTCCCCAGCCTAAAAGAGGGATCAGTCTCTTCTTGCAGAATAAATCCTTGGATGAGGAACCTGCTGGTAGCCGCTCCCGGTCCCCTTAGGGCCCATCCTCAGGCTTGGGGTGGGGGTGGGAAGGTTTTCGGTGGGAAGGTTTTTGGTGGGTAGGGGCAAGGTCCTAAGGTACCTATGTGTGCAGGGTCTGGGTTGCAGCCCCCACAAGAGACATTGGGGACCCTGAGTGACCAAAAGCCAATGAAGAGACCACGCGTGGAGAAGCTTTTCCCCCATGCCTGCAGGCAGAGGGCCTGGGGCTGGGGAGCAGCTGGACGGTGGGTTCTGCCTAGCTCCTGCCAGGATTGGGGAGCAGCCCTGGACCCTGGAGAATCTGGAGTGGAGGAGCTGTGGCTCTCGGGCTTCCTGGGGCCAGACACCACCTCTGAGGGGCTGTCTCTGCCGAGGCAAGCTGTCCTCTGACAGCCAGAGCCTTGAGGACTAGCATGCGGGCTGTTTGCCTTGTGAGGAGGTGGGTCTCCTGTCCCCAGGCCCAGACAGCAGGACTTCCTACCTGGCCAGCTCAGACCAAGAGGTGCCAAGAAGTTCACAATTACCAGTTTATTAAAAATACAGCATTTTTTCACATGAGCCTGAAGGATGTGGAAGGTGGGGTGCGTTAAAAACATCACAGCGGTGCTGGGTGCAGCCGTCGGGGCATTTGCACCTTCTGAGAATTCAGATACTGCCCACTCCCGAGAATTCAGACAGACCCCCAGGTTCAGGGCAAGGCAACAAGAAAGGGCGGGTGCAAACAGGGAGACCCTCCTGCTAAGAGGCTGAGGTCCCCTCCGGTTCCAAGGATGGGGTGTCAGCCTTGGCCTTCCGGGGTCTGTGCTGGCCTGGGGGAAGAAAAGGGGGGATGGTCAGCTCAGACTCCGGGGCTGCCCTGACAGCCTCTCTCCCAGCTTCGTTCACAGGCTCCTAGGCCACCCTCCCCTCCTCTGCTGTAGAGCTGGTTTCTGGGAGTGCTGAGGAAAGCCTACCAGAGGCTGCCTGTCGTCCCTTCCTCCTCCCCTTCTTGGGGATTTTGGGAGCTTCTGGGTCCTGCTGGAAGCTTGTTGCCTCAGGCCGCTGGGTTGCAGTTCTCTCAGGAAGGTCTCTCTTTGCCCTTCGTGCCCTGGAAGGGGCCTTGCTTGGAGGTGGAGGGTCCTGGATGGAGGAGGCACAGGTCCCTAAGGGGCTTTGCAGAGGTTGGTTAGGACACGCCACTCCCGCTACCCTCTTAGGGTAAGGCAGCTGCCTGGGGGGCGAAGCCAGGGCAGGAGTACAGGGGAGGAGGAGGTGGGGTGGGGGCAGCCAGGCAGGAGTACAGGGGAGGAGGAGGTGGGGGGGAGGCAGCCAGGCAGGAGTACAGGGGAGGAGGAGGTGGGGGGGAGGCAGCCAGGCAAGAGTACAGGGGAGGAGGAGGTGGGGGGGAGGCAGCCAGGCAGGAATACAGGGGAGGAGGAGGTGGGGTGGGGGCAGCCAGGACAGGAGTACAGGGGAGGAGGAGGTGGGGGGGAGGCAGCCAGGCAGGAGTACAGGGGAGGAGGTGGGGCGGGCAGCCATACCTCCACCCTGTCCTCGGGACTCGGCCGTGTGGCCTTGGATTTCTTTTTGCGGGATTTGCGCCCTGCAGGACACTGATGTTGGAGTTGGAGGGTCCTGTCCTGCCCCGGGGGGGGACTCCCAGGGTTTCAGGGGGATAGGGTGGAGAAGGGTGCTGTAACCCTTGCAGGTGAGAAGTCCTTTCTGCTCTCTCCGCCTATTACATTAGGAGTAGCTTACCTTTGGGTGCCAAGCGTCCAGGATCCCCCTAAAGTGGGATGGGGATAATTCAGGAGTCGGCCTGCATTGGCGCAGGGGCAGTATTCCTGTGAGAGGCAGGACTCACACACACCCTTCCAGATCAGTGTAGCTTCTGCCCCTAGGAAGCCTCTAGGACTTTCCCTATGTCAGAGTCCACATCAAAGCTGCCCTGCCCTTAGGCTACTTTCACTCTGCGACCCTGGGATGCAAGGGAGGGCCATGACCCTCGGGGAGCAGTGTGGTCCTTGGAGGGTCTAGACAGGCCCCGAGCATCTCCGCCCCAGTTCTTGTGACCCCAGGTTTCATTTCCACCCATCAGCCTCGTGGGGTCTCTTTGCCAGTGTGAACAGGGCCCAACCTGGAACCAGATGGTGCGGCCATGCCGGTCCTGGAGGGAGCTCATGCCCGGCATGCCATAGCACCGCAGCCAGGCGCGAAAGGCGGCAAAGTCCTCCTCCCCGCTCTCTGACCCGTAGCCTTTGCCCCCTGTGGGACAAAGGAACAGGCAGAGATCAGAGGGCAGACTTGGGTTGGGAGGAGTGGGGAGGCTGGTTAGACCTGGCCCAGACCTCAGCTACACAAGCTGAGGACTGAGTCAGGGGCCAAACTCTCCCTCCTCTGGTGATGTGACCTCAGCTAGTGTCTTCCCACTCAGCCATGGGTTTCCCATCCTGAAGAGGGGGTTAAGGATCCTTGTCCTGGCCCTTCGCAGGGACTCACACCTGTAATCCCAACACTTTGGGAAGCTGAAGTGGGAGGATCCCTTGAGGCCAGGAGTTCAATACCAGCCTGGGCAACATAGGGAGACCGTGTCTCTACAAATTTTTTTTAAAAATTAGCCTGGTGTGGTGGTATGGGCCTGTAGGCTGAGCCACTTAGGGGCAGAGGTGGGAGGATCACTTGAGCCCAGTTTGAGGCCAGTCCAGGCAACATGGTGAGATCCTATCTCTACCAAAAATACGAGTGTGTGTGTGTGTGTGTGTGTGCGTGTGTGTGTGAATATATAAAAGAATCCTTGTCTGTCTCATGGGTTGAGGAAACACTTTTTTTTTTCTCAGACGGAGTTTTCACTCTTGTTGCCTAGGTTGGAGTGCAATGGCCCGATCTCAGCTCACTGCAACCTCTGCCTTCTGGGTACATGCAATTCTGCCTCAGCCTCCCAGCCTCCTGAGCTGTGATTTCATGCATCCGCCACCATGCCCGGCTAATTTTTTGCATTTTAACAGAGACGGGGTTTTACCATGTTGGCCAGGCTAGTCACTCCTGACCACAGATGATCCCACCCACCTTAGCCTCCCAAAGTGCTGGGATTACAGGCATGGGCCATGCCCAGTCAGGAAACACTATTGACAAGTGAGGCCTAGTCCACTGAGTGACAGCTAGGGCTACAAACTTCCAAGCCAGTGAATCAGGCCCAAAGAGGGACACCTGCCCCAGGGTTACACAATAATTTGCTCCAGCAGAGGTCATTCCATTTTGGCCTCACCCAGCTGGACCACTTCCTTGGGCACTGAGTGGCACAGCTCCAGCAGGTCGGGGTTCTGCAGCTTGGCCTTGATCCTCTGGCTCAGTGTCAGCTCCGGGCTCTGAGGAAGGGGCAGGGGCAGGACCTGTCTGTCAACGGGGCCATGTAAAGGCAGCTGACCTTCCCTCTGAGCTTGACGGGACCTTGGGCCGTTCACCCCCCTCAGCCCTGCTGTTAAGCTAAGCTGAGGACACCTGACCCCAGATGGGGCTCACCGGCCTTCGCTGCTGCAGGGCCTCCAGGACCGAGCGGGCCTTCTCAAAGGGTGGGATCTTCAGCCTGGAGTGGGGGCGAGGGAAGCCATGGTAGGCAGTGGGGAATGTGGACACACCTGGGCCACCCGTCCCCATGCCCATGCCTGCTTGCTGACCGGTACAGGATCTCCGCCCGCAGATAGTTGCCAATGCCATTGAAGAACCTCTGGTCCAGGAGGGCCTCGCAGATGGGCCGGTCGAAGGCCTTGTCGGATAGGTTTCGAAGCACATTCTCCCTGGAGGGACACAGTCTGAGTGCGTAAGACCCATCCCCACCCTCCATGGATGGGGAGGGGCTCAGGAGAACCTGTTTCTGGGTGCAAGGGGAAGCAAGCTGGGAGTTCCAGAGTTTCCTCTGCTCCCTGCCTCAGTTTTCCTATCTGTCAAATGGGAACATATGGGATTAAAATTCACTGTGAAAGGATGGCTGGGTGAGGTGGCTCACACCTGTAATCCCAACACTTTGGGAGTCCGAGGCTGGCAGATCACTTGAGGTCAGGAGAGCAGCCTGGCCAACGTGGGAAAACCCTGTCTCTACTAAAAATACAAAATTAGCTGGGTATGGTGGGAGGTGCCTGTAATCCCACCTACTTGGGAGGATGAGTCAGGAGATCGCTGGAACCCGGGAGGCGGGGGTTGCAGTGAGCCAAAATTGGGCCATTGCACTCCAGCCTGGGCAATAGTGAGACTCCATCTCAAAAAATAAAAATAAATTGATTGTGAAAGGTGAAAAATACTGATCAAAAGTAACGTGAGGCTGGTGTGGTGGCTCACACCTGTAATTCCAGCACTTTGGGAAGCTGAAGCAGGAGGATCGCTGGAGCCCAGGGGACCAGCCTAGGCCACAAGGACGGCCACGTCTCTTCCAAAAATTTAACAAAGTAGCCGGGTGCTGAGTGGTGTGCCCTGCTGGTCCCAGCTACTTAGGAGGTTGAGGTGGGAGAATCACCTGAGCCCTGGAGGTTGAGACCACAGTGAGCTGTGATGGCGCCACTGC